AATGGTAGCATTTAATAAACGTGGCCTGTTTAGAGAAATCAATTTAAAGTAGCTAAAGAACTATAGTAGCTAATGGTCTATGCAAGAAGCCAATATTCAGACAGTTAGACTTTTTATATTTTATTAGAAAAATAGAAATTAGTAAATGAATTTAAACAAGCACACAAGATATCTTTTCATAATCAATTATTTCCAAAAAACCCCAGCCATCACCACAAGGCATTTTCCTCTATAAAAACCAAAATAATAAAATAGCTGACTACATTTTAGAACAGAGATCTGTCTTACTGTCAGTTCCAAAAATAAAGTTCATTCGGAGCTTTTCCTCTGGCATTCATTCCTCTGTGCAGGAATTCTCTCGCTGTGTTCGGGCAGACGTCCAGGCTGTCTCTCCATCCATCTTCTAGGCTGTCTTCTTTCGTCTCATCTCTCTTAAATCAAGAAGTTATGTCCTTGTTCCGTCTGGGCTGAGATTGTTGCCTAGCGACTAGATAAAGGTCACCTTGTTCTTCATAACTTTTTTCTTCTACTGTAAAAGAAACTGACCTTGGCCATTCTTAATCTCTCTAACTCGCACCTGGTCACAAACGGATTTCTAACTTAACTTTGCTCCTCTAAAATAACTCTCTATTTGACTTTCATAAGCAAATTCATGACACATGGCTCTGACTCTTTCTGTTCCATCCACCCTAGGCCTGAAGGTCAATGTCAAAAAGCCGACTTTGCATCCTACACAGCAGGTTGCCTATATCAGAGGGCTTTGGGATGCCCTGCCAGGTCGACCTTCCCTACCTCCAGACAGGATTTCAAAGATCAGATCCATGCTGCTCATCTTCCATCCAGGGGTGTGGGTACCAGCCTCCCAGGTTCAGCGGCTTCTCGGTCTCATGGCTTCCACTACAGCTGTAGTGCAGCATGCCGGCTTGAAAATGAGGTCACGTCAGGCATGGTACTTTTCTCTATTCTCTGTATCCCTCTGACCAAGCATCTATAAGTTATGCCAAACTGGCCGCCCAGTTGATTTGGTGGGACCTTCCATCAAATCTGCTGGTCAGAAGGCCCTTCGGCCTACTTTCCCATCTGTTCAAATAGTGACGGATGTCAGCCCAACAGACTGGGGCGCACACATGTACTCTCACACGGTTCATGGCCGCTGGTCTTCAGCAGAAGCAGCTCGTCACATCAGCCTCCTAGAATTCCTTGCAATTTATTTCCTTGAACTGTATCACCAAGGTCCCTAATTTTGCTCTTCATGTCCTTTAACTCCTGTGACACCCCTGAAATTTGATCTTGAAGCTTAGTAATGCTTCTTTCGATGGACTTAGATCTTTGCTCTGTTTTGTCAAAGCCTTCAGACATTTTACAAGACAGATCTTTTATAAGCCTTGTAACCTCGTCCATCCTATCGTCTTCAGTTGGTTGTGTCGTCAATCTTTCCAAACTGCGATCTGAGGGGGTTTTGGCAGTTTTATCCCTCCTCCTTGACATAGAGAGTTCTAATTAAAAATAATTATTGTTGTTTCAGGCTTTTCGTTAGGAGCAGGGCAGCTGGAAAACGCCAGTAGCTAATCGGCCATGAAAGTGAAAGTAGTTTTTAACTTTAAAAGAACATAGTCCTTAAGGCTTTTAATCAGCGATATGCCTTCCTTATCCTTCTCTCCAAGGATTTATGATAAAAAAAACATTCTTCTAAAGAAAGAAATGCATTTTAATAGCTTTTACCTTGCTAGGCGATACGGAGGGTTCGCTCCTAGCTGGTCATCCCCCCGAGCGGAAGTGACGTCTCCCGCACACATGTACTCTCACACGGTTCATGGCCGCTGGTCTTCAGCAGAAGCAGCTCGTCACATCAGCCTCCTAGAATTCCTTGCAATTGTCAAGGCTTTCTGAGCATTCAAGAGTTTTCTAATAGGTCGTGGACCACCACAGCAGGCTCCAAATCTGTTCCCACGAGTGGTCCCTAGACAGCACCGTTTTCCAAGAACTCTGCTAGTGGTGGGGCACTCCACAGCTGGATGTATTTTTGTCCCTGAACAACAAAAAGTGCAAGGCCTACTGCTCAAGGGTGGGGGTAGGCCATCTCTCCCTGGGAGATGACTTTATGGTGAAATGAGCCTCAGGCCTGCTCTATAAGTTTCCTCCTATCCCGCTTCTGCAGAGGACCATTGTGAAGATCTGGCAGGACAATGTGGATGCCATCCTCTTAGCCTTGTGGTGGCCCCACCAGTTGTGGTTCACTACGCTCCACGACGGCATCAGATTATCTCCGACTGCTGCCTGGCAAGATCTTTCATCAAGATCTAGAGTCTCTCCACCTGACACCATGGAGCCTTCCCAGTTAGTAGCCGATGTTCTCAGTTCAGTACGTAAGTGCTCCACTTCTTTGACTTATGCCTATAAGTGGAAATCTTTTTGAACGTTTACGGTATCCTGTCACCTTTCAGCCCAACAACCCTTGACACAGTCCTTCAGTTTTTGCTTCTCTTGTTTCAGTGTGGTCTTTCCCACTGGATTCTGAAGGTTTATATGATGGATATAGTGGCCCACCAGCCACCGTCCTCTCATGCATCTTTGTTCTTTTGTCACCCCATCTTGAAACAATTTTTGCGAGGACTGAGAAACATGCTCCTGGCCTACAAGCCTCTTACGCTGCAGTGGTCCTCCAGCTGGTCCTCAATCAGCTTATGAAGCCTCCATTTGAACCCTTGGCTTCAGCATCAGACCACCTTTTGACCGTAAAGACTGCCTTTCTTCTCACAATCACCTCAGTTTGGAGGGCAGGAGAGATAGCTGCCTTTTGGGTGGACCTTCCATTCCTCCAGTTTCACCCTGACAAGGTGACCCTGTACCCAGATATCTCCTTTCTACCCAAGGTATCATCCTATTTCCATTTGAGCCAGCCAGTGGTGCTGCCCATGTTTTTCCTGCTTCTACCTCACCACTAGAGAGGGCATTACATTCATTGGACATTAAGCAGGCTCTCTCTTATTACGTTCATCATACTACCACCTTCCGTGCCTCAAAAAGATTCTTTGTAACCTTCCATGGCCTCTCTAAAGGGGCACCGGTCACTTCCCAAACCGTCTCCAGATGGATTGTGGCCACCGTACACCTTGCCTACCAGCTGGTTAACGCTCCTCTCCTGGGCATGGTTAAGGCTCACTCAACAAGGGCTGTAACCTCTTCAGCCACATTGCAGACATTTGTAGGGCTGCTGTGTGGGTCACGCCTTCCACCTTTACCCATCACTACTGCCTCAGTGTCTGGGCCAAGGCTGAAGCTGCATGCCGTCCTGGCTTTTGCGCTTTTGTGACGTCCCTCCTCTGGGTAAGTCAGCTTGCTAGTCACCCATTAGTATGTATTCACAGAGACCACAAAGAAGAAAAAGACTGTAATTCTGGTTCTTCAAGTGGTCGTCTGTGAATTCACACTTTCTGCCCTTCCTCCCTGGTGTCCGTCACGTGTGCTAGTTGCATGCTGTGCAGCGGCAGACAGTTCTAAGGAACTGAGGCATGGTGCCGGGAGTGGAGTTATAGCCAGCATGTGGGAGGTCCTGGCACCACGTGCTCGAGCTCTGGAAAGTTCCAAGACTGCTCTGCCCAAGCACAGATTAACCCATTAGTGTGAATTCACAGATGACCACTCGAAGAACCAGAGTTACAAGTAAGTAACCTCTTTTTCCCAACTTGATTCAAAATGTCAACATTTATTTCTGATATATCTAAGAAACTATTGACATAAACAGGCACATTAAACTGCTCTTCCTCACTCAACAGACTGCAGAAGGGATTGGAGTCTTTCTTGAACAGTAAACAGATTGTCCACTGGGGTTCCAAACAATCCTGCCTCCCAAACTGGGCAAGAGTCTTTTATTTTTGTTTCCAATGGTATTGGCAACATGGGCAATGTTTCCCGGGTTAAGGGGTTGGGTCCCGGCATCCTTGCTCCCAATTCCAAGAATTCCCAATGTCTCAGGCCTCATGAGGTATGCCATTCCTGCTGGGGTCTGCCATCTCGCTCCTGCTCACCTCTCACGAGCTAGCTTTCCCCATTCCTCTCTAATCTGTCTTCTCCACTTTTGGCCCCCCTTCTCTCCCCAGTACAAGGGTTTCCCTGGCTTCCTCTCTCTCCCCTTTTACACTCTGCTTTCTTTCCCACTGTTTGGTCCAGGGATTCTCCATCCAATATCACTCCCATCCTGGGGGAAGTAATTTTCTTGAGTTTCTCGCTTCTGTCTTGCTTACCTCTGCCAACTCTCACTCTGATTGCTTCTCCTCATATATCTCTGTACCCACCTCCACCCCCATGGTCCTGCCTTTTTTCTGGACTCATCCACTTTTTTCTCCGTCATCTCTTTCAGGCACCTTGTCCCCCCCTACTGGAGCAGTTCCCACCTCACATAATGGTCCCAACTTGTCCTTCTTTACTTCTTCTCCCTGTCTGTCAGTCTCTGTCTCCTCTCTCTCACACAGAGGAGTTGTAACTTTGCTCAACATTTGGGGCTTCCCCTTCTGTACTTCTAAGGCTCTCTCCCGCCTCTGTGGGGAAGGATGACACTTGGGCCAGAACGGAATTGGGCCTGCCAGTCTCTTCATATAATTACATAACCAGTTCCACAACTGTGGCTGTGGAGCTTCTTGCTCAGTATCCCTTCCACCTTGGTGTGTCATGAGAGCTTCTCTCCTTTTCCTCTGCCCTAGGACGAGCAGAACTCCTGCTCCAGGGCTGTGTTAAGCATGCTGCCAGGTGGCTGTATGTAACAAATCTGTTGCTTTGTGGAGCATGAGTCAATTGACTCAATGTTCAACACAGAGGCTTCATCACAGAAGGTGGAATTTGAATAAAGAGAGAAGTCTTAGTACTTAGGTGTGAGAGAAAGTGCTAGGATAATAGATTGTTTCTAGTATTTTAAACCATAAGGAGGAGCTTGTTCAGAACAGTTTCATTTAAGAAACACCCTGAAATATTTTATGCATTTAAAGTGTTGATTCATCTTGCAGGTATTCCGGGTAGAGGACTTCCTGGACTTCTGGGTGCAAAGGGAGAAAGAGGTAATATAGAGAGTTTTCAATGTGAAGTAAATAAACCTGAATACATGGGTAGTCTGTGTCGGGCAAATCTGAGCAACTCCTAGAAATCTAGAGGAGATCTGTGGATGTTCACAGAAGGGTCTGCAAAAAAGCTTACCATCAACATTCCTCTTCTTCTTTAAATAGCAGACTGCTGCATTAAATAGAGTGGTGCCCCGTATAGCAGATTAACCTTCGCTGTGGGGAAACATCACTAAACGGAACGAAAAAGCCCATTGGAATGCATTAAACGTCCCCAAATGGGCCCCAAACTCACCATTCTGCAATGTTTCCCCATGTTCTGGTGGCCATTTTGGGTGTTCCCGCGGCCATTTCGTGTGTTCCAGTGGCCATTTTGGTTGTTCCGGTGGCCATGTTGGAACCGCCGAACAGCTGTTCCCCCATCGCAGTGCGATAAAACATCGGTATGCGATCGCATTAGCGATCGCCAAATCCGCATCACTATGCGGATTCATCGTTAAACGGTGTGCTCGTTATGCGAGGCACCACTGTAGTGTGAATCCCCATTAAAAGAGTATTGATTCTTTAGCCAGACACCATCACATTCAGTTTATCAGGTTTGGGGAGATCACTTCAGTCCCTGCTTTGTACTCAGAGCTCTTTTACGTCACTAGCCAAATATACAGTGGTGCCTCACATAGCGAGGTTAATCCGTTCCAGATTAACCCTCGCTATGTGAAAACATCACTGTACGGAATGGGGAAAGCCATTGGAACGTTCCAATAGGCTCCAAAACTCACAGTTCAGTGAAGTTTTCCCATAGCCGGCAGCCATTTTCGCGCCCTCGGGGAGGGTGCGAAAACGCTGCAGGCGGTCGTTTTGGGGCTTCTGGCGGCCATTTTGGAGCCACGGAACAGCTGATCGTCGGGCGTCGCAAAGCGAAGATTGGTAAGCGAAACACTTACCGATCTTCGCTATGCGAGTTTCGCCCATAGGGGCCATCGCTATGCGATTTCGTTGTTATACGGTGCGCTCGTTAAGCGAGGCACCACTGTATCTCTAAAACAACTATCTTCCTTGTGGCCAGAGATGTTCTAGGTGAGTCCCCTTTTTCTACAGATATGGTGGTTTTTCAAACTGATGCTATCTACCTCTGCATTTATTCCATAGAGGGAAAGGAAAAATGTTGCCTTCTTTCTGTCTCAATCTCATCTTAAACTCGCCACCACCACTGCCAGGCCTGGCACAAGAGTAGATGGTTGGAGGATACTCCACTTCCACATATACAGAACCAGAGTGATGAAAGTTCTGTGGCTTTGTACTGTATCAGGACAACTGCTTCTGGAACAATGATTGAAAAGGTGTATTATTCCTATAGGAAGTCCTCCCTCCCCATTAGGATTACAGTGCATTCCATCAGGAGGACAACTACCACAACTTTTGGGAGCAATGCCTCTGTGGAAGGAAGGAAACTAAGGGCAACTTTCAGAGCCTCCTTGCCCAGTATTTTAAGCAAAGCACCTTTCCCAAGCATTTTAAGATATGAAATCTTTGGCTGATGCTACTTTTAGAAAAGGATTTTGCTGAGTGTGCCTGTGGTTCACAGGAAGGCCTCTTTGGGCCCACCTTTTCTTGTATCCCAAAGATGTAGGCATATTCTCTAAATATAATACAGTGGGGTCTCGATTTACGGGTCCACATACGTGCTTTTCAACCTACGGACTTCTCAGGCCGCAAAATTAAACTTCGACTTGCGGCCAGAGAATCGACCTACGGACCAGAAGGGGGAGTCAGGGAAAGCACCACATTCAAATTTGGCGCTTTCCCCACCTCCCCCTTCCAGTCCGTAGGCCGTAGGTCATGCCTCTGGATGCCTTGCAGGGCTTCTCTGCCACCATGGGAAGCATCTCGGAGGTCCCCCGCCACCGCCGATAGTGCTTCGGAGCCTTCGATAGGGCTTCCTCTGATGTCGGGTGGCAAGCTGCGAAGGCAAAAAGGCAGGGAGAAAGGGTGGGAAATTTGAATTTCCAGCCCTTTCTCTCTGTCTGTTTGCCTTTGGAGGTCTCAAAGGGCTTCCCCCCCCCCCGACATTGGAGGAAGCCCTTTGAGAGCTCCGAAGACTTCCAGCAGCAGCGGCGGCAGCAGCAGGGTGGGGGGTTCTTCTGATGCCTTCCATTGGTTCTCTGTCTGGAAGGCATCTGGAGGTCCCCGGCCACTGCTGCTGGAAGCCAAGCTGCTCTGGGCAACCCCAGCCATGCTTGGACTCCTGGGAGTCCGAGCATGGCTGGGGTTGCCCGGCGTGGCGCCCAGCAGCAGCGGCACGGGAACCTCCGAAGGCCTCCCCCCCCACCATGGGAGACCTCTTGGATGTCCCCCACCACTGCCGCCGATAGTCCCTCCGAAGCACTATCGGCGGCGGCGGGGACCTCTGAGAGGCCTCCGGCAGCCGCGGCGAAGCCCTCAGAGTCCTCCAACAGCAGCGATGGTGGCGGCGGGGGACCACTTGAAGACTACAAAAAGGTGAGGTGATTTTTTTTTAAGTATTTTTAATTTTATGTTTGTCTGGGGGGTTGTTTCTTGGGTGGTGTATGGATTAATTGGTTTTCAATTCGACCTACAGACTCCGTTCCAATATGGATTAATTCCATAGGTCGAGACCTCATTGTACTATAAAAATTTGTACCATCAATTCCTGTTCTCTTTCTCCTGGGTGGCAGTTTACCAACTCTGTTTCCTCAGTAGACCATGACCCTATTCAAACTTTTATATCTTATATTTTATACAAATATAAGATATAATGGTGGGGGTGGTCAGGGAATCCTGCAGTAGATCAGTCCTGCCTTCACATTTGTTTAAAAGTACTGGCACTAGTTATTCATTGAGAGGGGTTTTCATCTCCCTATTGGACATAGGGTCAAAAGAGTTGACAGCAAAGCAATTTTAGGATTAAATTCTTTTCCAAAGATATTACATATTTCCTTAAACATTATCTTAAAACTCTCATCTTCCAAATTTTTGTCCAATCTTCTGTTCTGATTTCTGTCTTTAAATCATGTTCCCAAATTGATTTCAATCCTTCTGTTTCAGCCTCATTTTCCTCCTGATCCAAAATTAGGTTATACACTCTACTTACTAACTCCTTCCTCAAAGCATCCTTCTGCATGTGATGATAGAAATTGTTCATACTTAGTACATTCTCTACATTTGCCATTCATTAATCCATCTGTCTAATTGGATATAATTATACCATGATAATTTATTAATTTGAAGCTTAACTAGAATCTGATCCTTCAATCTCATTTTAATCACCCAATCCTTCAATCTGGCAACTTTTTTTATTCTTAAACAAATCAACAAACCTTTCAAGTTTGCTGGGAAATTTTCTATTTCGGTCACTAATTTTAGTGGTGAAGTAATGGGACATAACTTCTTTTTTTATCTGTTCCAGACATTTAACATGTTTCTTAAGAAGGGGTTGTTCTCCTGATTTATTATATTTCTTTTTACTACATTAAACAAATATTTTTCAATATTCCCATGTATTTCTGAGGACTCCATATCCCACCAAATTAATCTTCCTTTGTTATATATAATATCTCCAATAAATCTTAGTTGATTAGGTATATAATACTTTTTATATTAGGAATACCTAAAGCTCAGTTTTTTGAGCCATGTACCAATATCTTTTATTTATTCTTGATTTTTTACCTTGATTACAAGATCCATTCATTAGTCCCTGCCAATACTTAAAATCTTCTTCTTCTAATTGTATTGGGAACATCCTAAATAAAGAAGTTATTCTTGGTAATATTTTCATTTTGACCATAGCAATTCTCCCAAACCACAATAGTTTCAATTTAGAATATTCCTGCAATTTATCCTTAATATCACTTTCTAATTAATTGAAATTTTGCTCCTTTAATTTTTGAGTCACTTTAACTATATTTATACCTAAATATTTAATATAAGTGCACATTTTAAAATGATATTTATTTACAAATTTTTCTTGTTCATATTTATTGTAATTAAATATCATTACTTGTGTTTTTGCCAATTAATAGTTAATCTGTTATTTCCCCAAATTTTTCTGATTTGTAATTCTATCCATACTTTTAATGGGTTTTTAATGGTTAATAATGAATCATCAAATAAATTAATCTTAATTATGTCCTTTTCTTATTGCATTAGCTAACATATAATCATAGAAAACAATATTGGTGAAAGTGAACAGCCTTGTCTTGTACCTCATTCTAGAAAAATCCGTTCTGTTAAACAGTCATTAATTATTATTTCTGAGGTATTTTCTGAATATAATTGATCTATAACCCCAATAAATGTTCTACCAAATCCCCAGCCCTTTAAAAGCAGCTTTAATGTCAACCGTACCACACAATCAAAGGCCTTAAATATGTCTAGTGATAAAACACTTCCTTTGTTTTTTCCTTTTCTGCCTCATATATAATATTCAAAACTCACCTAGTTAAATTATCCATTTGTCTTCCCTTTATAAAGCTACATTGGTCCTCTTTAATATAATTTGCTATAAATCTATTTAATCTATTTACTAATATAGCAGTAAAAATCTTAGTTTCTTGATTTGTTAGAGATATAAGCCTGTAAGATGCCACGTCTGTTAAATCTTTGTTAGGTTTTGGAATAAGAATTGTTAATGAATGTTTCCCAGAAGGTAGCAATGTCTCCCCTTCCAATATTTTATTATAAAGCATTTTTAAGTTAGGTATCAAAATGGAACAAAAATGTTTATAATATTCTGAACCCAATCCATCAAAGCCTGGTGTTTTACCATTTTTCAATTTATTAATGACTTCAGCAATTTCTTCTTCTTTAATCTCTTCTTCTAATATAATATAATTTTGTCACATTTTAATAAATTGGTTTTAAAATAATCATTTATATAATTTTCTATATCCTCTTTCAGTACGTTGTTTCCTTTATATAATTTCTGATATAATTCTTGAAAAATCTGCAATTTATCCTTCATTATATTGCACCTCTTACCATATTGAGTATGGCTCAATAAGAAGCTGACGACACATACGAAGATCCAGGTTTATAGAGCCTGTGTTCTAAGCACACTCCTGTACTGCAGTGAGTCCTGGACCCTTTGTGCACGGCAGGAGAGGAAGCTGAACACCTTCCATATGCGTTGCCTCCGACGGATTTTTGGCATCGCCTGGCAGGACAAAGTTCCAAACAGAGCAGTCCTAGAACGAGCTGGAATCTTCAGCATGAACACATTACTGAAACAGCGATGTCTACGTTGGCTCGGGCATGTCGTGAGAATGGCTGATGGTCGGAGAATTAGTGCAGGGAAAGCGCCCCAGAGGGAGACCACAACTGCGATACAAGGACATCTGCAAGCGAGATCTGAAGGCCTTAGGAATAGACCTCAACAGATGGGAAAACCTGACATCTGAGCGTTCAGCCTGGAGGCAGGCAGTGCATCACGGCCTCTCCCAATTTGAAGAGACCCTTGCCCAGCAGGCCGAGGCAAAGAGGAAGTCACAAAAGCAGCAAAACCAGGGAGCCGGCCAGGGGACAGAATGGATTTGTCTTCAGTGTGGAAGGGACTGTCACTCTCGAATTGGCCTTCTCAGCCACACTAGGCGCTGTTCCAAGCCCTCCATACAGAGCACGCTACCATAGTCTTTCGAGACTGAAGGATGCCTAACTAACTAATTGCACCTCTTGCCTGTTCTATCTTTAATTACCCCAATCGTATTTTTAATCTTCTATTTTTGCACATTCTAGCTAATAATCTTGAATTTTTATTGCTCATTGACATTTCTCAACAAATAAGAAAAGCCAGAAAGAAAACTGCATACAGTAGATAAAGAAACTTGTATTACCTGCTGCAAAAATCATGGTTTCTGTATTGATCAGTGAGAAAGTTGCCAAAGACCTTTGTCAAATGACACAGTTAAAAATAATTCTCTGCTCACTATACTGAAGAAACGATTTGAAAAAATATAATCAGAACTCAGAAGACAGGCTTTAGTTATTAAGTGCAATGCAGCACCAGCCTTCTCATTAGTTATAACTATATGTATATAATATATTAGTGGGACATTCGAATGATAGCAATTTAAGTAACAAATCTGCCTTTATTAATTAGCTAATTTATACTAAATATATAGTAAAGTAAGTTAAAATGTAGTATAAAAGAAAGTGTGTGCCTGAAAGTAAGAGTACGTAAATGTAATTTCAGTGCCTCAGCCAAGCACTTAACTTTGCCAAATATGCATATCTCAGGAAAACCCTTTCATTCAGTCTTCCCCAAAATAAAATGTTACTGGAGCTCATGAGCATGGTGAAACACACCAGCAGGGATTCATTTTTTAGAGACTATTAGGGTGAAAGAGTATCACTAAAATAATCTGAAGGCATACCTTGGCAAAGGCAAAGGGCTCCATTGTTCAGGTATTGTGCCTGACTAGTAGCTAGTAGCACCAGGCGCAGGCTAATAAATTTATTATCTGCATCCTTGTAGCAGCTGCACTGTGCAGTGTCAGATAGTCCTGTCTGTCTTCTTTCCTTTGGTAACGGCAGAGACACCACCTTTGATCATTCCCATCAGTCAAGTAATATATTCAGCTCTGAAAAACAGATACATACATTAGTCACTGAGACTGTAATTTCTAATGTTGCAAAAGAACGCATGGATTGTGAATTCAAAGGAACAAGAACAAGTCTTTTTGATCAAACCTCTGATAGATTGTGGGAAAATAAATATTTTTATTGCATTTCACAAATGTGAGTGAAAAAAATTTATGTTAGCTTCACACAGAAGCAACATTATTACAGTAGGTTTGCAACCTGTAGAAAGTGTGAGCTGATAATATCAGGCATGAATGGAAGGCCTGCACAAACAGCTACAGACATTCAGAGAGTAATGAATGCCAGTGTACATTGCAGAACAAAAATCTGAAAGTTTTAAACAGCAAAATTGGTACTGGGCTTCTCTTTCTACTTGGTATCACAACCCAACTATTTCTGATCAATTTCAAATTTCTTTCTAACACAGGTCTTTTGGCATTGTGAGAAAAGATTAAAATTACACTTTATTCAGGACCATTTTATTTTTCCTGTGAAATTATTTTGTCCTGGTGATCAAATCACAAAGCAGATAATTTGCATTCCTAGGTCCAAAAGGAGATGTGGGTTTTCCAGGAACTCCAGGAAGCCCAGGAATTCCTGGTGTAAAAGGAGAACCAGGATTTATTGGTCCACAAGGTCCCCCTGGCCAACCGGGCATTCCTGGATTACCAGGCAGAGCTGGAGCGGGTCCTAAAGGTGACCGCGGACCCCAAGGTCGACCTGGGCTGCAAGGTAAGAGCCAATGCTGGATAAACGGCTTAAATCTGTGAATTGTTGTTGTTTAGTCGTTTAGTCGTGTTCGACTCTTCGTGACCCCATAGACCAGGGCACACCAGGCCCTCCTGTCTTCCACTGCCTCCCGGAGTTGAGTTAGATTCATATTGCTCGCTTCGATGACACTGTCCAACCATCTCATCCTCTGTCATCCCGTTCTCCTCATGCCTTCACACTTTCCCAACATGAACGTCTTTTCCAGGGAGTCTGCTCTTCTCATGAGATGGCCAAATTATTGGAGCCTCAGCTTCAGGATCTGTCCTTCCAGTGATCACTCAGGGTTGATTTCCTTCAAAATGGATAGGTTAATTCTCCTTGCAGTCCAGGGGACTCTCAAGAGCCTCCTCCAGCACCACAATTCAAAAGCATCAATTTTTTGGCAGTCAGCTTTCTTTATGGTCAAACTCTAACTTCCGTACATCACTACAGGGAAAACCATAGCTTTGACTATTTGGACTTTTGTTGGCAAGGTGATGTCTCTGCTTTTTAAGATGCTATCGAG